AAACTTTGAACTTGAGAAATTACCGTTTGGAAATTTATCATAACAAAGTCTAGAAATTTACCAACAATAAATTTTTTTGTGCCAGCATCCTCTGTCTTGTATTTTTCTCCAAAGAATCCCACAATTCTTTTGCTGTTTTCAAAGGGTTGTAAACATTATACAACATGTTGTCTAGGCCATTAAGGATGTAATTTCTGCAAAGAAAATCAAAATGCTTCCACACATCCACCGCAACAACAACTTGCCGATCACTTTCATTCTTTTTAAGCATTGGAGCATCTTCATGGAGAAACCGGGCAAGATTAAGAGTTGTAAGATAGAATAACATTTTCTGCTGCCATCTCTTAAACTCGGTGCCATTAAATTTTTTGGATTTTTCTCCATGATTTATTGGAACTTGAACGTGGTTTTGGGTAAGGACCAGAGTCGTTGTAACAATCGGATTTGGAGTACTACTTTTAGAAGCCGTAATATTTGATTACAAAAATAAAAATAAAAAAACCAAAACCAAAACCAAAACACAAATTAATTTTCTAGTTACTAAAACCAAAAAATAAGTTATAGTACAAAATAATTTTACTTTTCTAGTTACTAAAACTAGAAAAATAAAATACAACACAATAATTTTTCTTGTTACAAAAACCAAAAATTATTTTATTGGATTCAAATAAAGCTGGTTTATAAAAAGAATTTTATTAATTCAATGAAGACTTATTAAATAAATAGGGTCTGGCTTAAGATTGTTGCACAATCTTCAATGTATTCAAAGAAAATGATTAAAGAAAGGAGAGAGATTGTTTGAGTACAAAAATCAAAACAGTATATACAAAAAATAAAACAACAAATTCTTATTCTGTTACAAAAACAAAATCAGAATCTGAATCTGAAAAAGAAAAAGAAAAATAAATAAAACAAAAAAGTAATCGAATTACTTACATTATTATTTTGTCAGATATTTAGATCAAGTCTAGTGTTAAACACTGTCTCCTTAAAATAGATTCGTCATCTCTAAGGTGCTAACAGATTTATGGACTTCTATCTCCCATGATGAAATGATGTACAACGAACATTAGCAGCACTACAAACTATTCGCACAATGAACACACTTTGTGTTTATATACTTTCTCGTAGAAAATAAATGTAGCAAAATGCAGAGAGCAATGGCAGAAGCAATAACGAAAAAATTGAGTGCAAAATCCAAATGAGGGGCTGACTATTTATAGGAGAAATTGTGGCATTTCAGAACAGGTAAAAACCTATTCGAAACAGTGTTAAACAGATAGAAAACTTGTTCGGATTTGAATTCAATGGGTATGAACCTGTTTGGGTTTGAACTGAACAGATATGAACTTGTTCGGACATGTATGGAACCTATACAAAAAGGTTTGAAGAGGTGCAAGCCAAAATTTGAATTTTTCCAACCGAAATTTGAATTCAAAATTGTCAGAATTTATAATATAAAAAAAATTTAAATGTTTTTGGCCTAAAAAGAATTAGTATTGGGCCGGACAAGCCCAACCCAACCTTATACGACACACCCGCACCCAATCCAGCCCAGCCCACTTGACTAACTGACTGGACAAACGGCGGCGGCGGCGACGGCACGCATGTGTGTATTTGTTTTGGGTCCAATAGGTCTAGCCCACTTTGTTCATAACCTTCCCCTCTACAAAACTTGAGTGCCCCTTGGAGCCTACTCGAAGTTCCAAACTCAAAGCTTATAAACCCACACCGAGTTTGCCCACCAAAGTAATGTGGGACAAACCTTAACCCATTCTTTATGGAAACTTCACCGACATACCATTTCCATGGAGCTCATTTTAGCATCGATTTCCCATTCATCCCATAATGGTTTTGAGTAACCAAATATATGACGTGAATCGTTACGCGATAAAGAACGCATTGCCACATGGACCCAACAACTTTGGCGCATGGGTCCCACCTAAAAATTAGTCCAAAGTTTAGAAAAAATCTATTTTTTTTCCAAACCATTTCTTCCACAAATTCCATAAAAAACAAACCAAACATGATGATATTCGCTAAAAGTAAACTGTAGCTAGGTTTAGATGTAGAGGTATAGACGATATTGCCTTCAAGGAACAAGAAGAACCCCCAAAACACTATAATCTAGAGCATCTCCTTCACTGTTTGAACTCAGATGTAGAAAGTTAGGGCAATTCAAGATTGGAGAGAGAATTTACCGCTTGAAATTGCAAGGGCCAAGTCAAGCAAGAGGAGATTTGATCAAAACCTTAAGAGGAGATTCAATATTTTGTAAACCCTAGAAGAAGAATCGACGAAAGGAAGAGCTTGAGAGAGAGACAGAGAGAGACAGAGAAAGAGAGAGAGAATACAAAATTTGAGATTATAGATGGTGGTGTTCACCTTAGTCAACGATGTAGATGATTGTGGCAGTGGAGCTTCAAAATCGAGAGGGAGAGAGAGAGATCTGAGATTGGATTTGAGATGAATCACCAAGCTAAAGAAGGTTGAATCTCTAAGACTGAAGGGTTTAGAGAGAGAGCGAGTGATTGAGTGAGTGAGAGATTTGAGGGATTGGTTTTTCTGAGACTGAAGGGTTTCCTAGATTCAAAATTAGGGTTTGAAGAGAGAGAGAGAGAGAGAGAGAACATTGCAACACATTTGAAGGCATTTAAAAAATGACTTCTATTAGTTAAACAGTACCATTTTAATTAAAATAAAATGCAATATTTATAAAACATCGTTAAATATTAGAAAAAGTAACATTTAAAAAAGCACTGTTAAATCCTATATTTCCTAGAGTGACGTTTGACTACCAAATGGGAAAATTATAATGTTATTATAAAGTTTGGGTAAGGTGTAAAAGAAGCTCGACCATCTGGCCTTAGGCTCAAGATAGCTCATCCTAGGCCCAATCGCCCAATCGGGCTTCTACAAAAATTGAGTTGGACCGGACTGGATTATTTATAACAAATTCTAGCTTAGGCCCAGAGGTAATTGGGCTTCAGGTTGAGTTTTGAGCTAGTCCATTAAAATTTACTTCTCAAATGAATTTTAAGCCTATTTTGAAAAGTAGGTTAAAAGCTGATTTCTTTGATTTTTTTGGCTTTTTTTTTTTAAAAAAGAAAATGTGCAAAAAAGTAAGAAGGTAATATGACTCAAAAAGTCAAAAAGCAAAAAAGTTGGCTTTTTAACCTTGTTGCCAATGCAATATTTTTACCAATAAATAAAAATTAAGGGATTGTTTGAAATGATCTAAATAAGCATACTTTTTAATTTTTTACGAAAAGTTGTGTACAAAAATAGAGAGATAATATGAAAAAAAAATTTAAAAAGATAAATAAGTACACTTTTGTAAACACTACATAAATTTGCCCCAAAACCATCAAATAATTTTCCTCCCTAAAACCATCTTCAATCCTTCATCTTTTGTTTCGTCAAATTTAAATTTGATAAAAAAAATTGTACAAAACTAGTGCTCCAATGCTTCATCTTTTGTTTCATCAAATTGAGGATATCTCAAATTTTTCATCAAATTGAGGATGTTGAAACCTTTTACTAAATTACTGTAAAGAGCCATTAATTCTTAAGCACCGGACGACTAGTCGGATGTTCCTCAGTTGACCACCTCGCAAAAATTTTAAAAAAATTTATACTGGCCGGTCATCTTTTCGATCGACCGGTGATTTGATGAAATCTCAAATCACTCCATTAAAAATGCGCGATATCAAATTAAATTTAAGTAAAATTTGGTGAAAATCTTAAATAAAACTTTAGAGATGCTCAATTAAGTAGGTTTTGGGATAAACTAAAAGAGTACACATTTTTTTACTTACGGACACTTATTTAAGGCCAAGTTTGGCAACTCTGAAAAAGTCAAAAAGTTAAAAAGTTACTCAAAAAGTTAAAAAGTTATCACCAAAACAAAAATATAAAAAAAATAATTTCCCACACATCATACAACTCAGCCATCATAAAAAGTCAAAGGGGCTGTGCAGCGTTTGTCCCAAGTATTAGACAATTTGGGCAATTTTTCACACACTGTTGTTCGGCCCGTGGGGGCCTATCACATGTTCCGTTTTGATAATCTGAACCGTGAATGTGTATAAATCGTTGAATACTATATGTTTGTAGAAAATCACATTGATTGGATATCGATAACTACATGATCAAATCAGTTTTGTATGAAAAATAGATGGTATTATAATTAACGATTGAAAAAAAACAAATCTGATCAGATAGCTATCGATATCCGATTAACGTGATTTTTAATATACATATAGTGCTCGACGAGTTTTACACATTGAACGGTTCAGATTATCAAAATGGGATCCGTGATGGCCCCTACGGGCCGAACAAAACAGTCCACTACAATGCTCAAAAAGTACTCAATAATTTCTTACCAAGAATTCGGCTGCCAGAGATTGTACAGCTCTCTTTCACTCATCTCCCATTTTCTCCTACACACTTCTTTATATAATTTTTTAATACATATTTTTTCATAAAAAATCAAAAAATTAACCCAAACATCCATATTTTTTTTTCTCAAATTTTTAGTTTAAAAAAATAAAAAGTACACATATTTAAGACATCCCAAACAACCCCTAAGTCACATCAATTAATATTTATCAATATCTTTTCTTTACTTTTCTATTAACTTTCTTTATTTTTTTACGCATTTTTTATAGGAAAATTTACCCATAAGTCCTAGTTTCTGAAAAGTTGAACCATTTAGTCCTAAAAATTTTCTTATGTCCCATTTAGTCCCATTTGCACATCAATCTAATGTTTGAAACATTAATTTGATGTTCGAAATCTAATGTTCGAAACCTTAATATGATGTTCGAAATCTAATGTTCGAAATATTAATCTGATGTTTGAAACATTGTAATGGGACCTTTCAGTCTATAAAAAAACTTTTAGAACTAAACAGTGTATAAGTTATTAATTTGGAATTTATTACTGCATCCCCTTTTATATATAAAAAATTTAAAAAATACGCTTATTTAAAATATTTCGACCCATGCCAAAATTTTACGACCCAAACTCAGACTAAACCATCAAAGCGCACCGGAGTGAGAGAATCCACCCCTGATAGCGACTCTGCAAACAGGAGATAGAAGATATAGGTATAGATATACAGAGAGAGACGAGCTCGGTATACTCTCTGATCAAATCACACAATTCGATCACAAACACAATTTGCTTTCGATTCTGTGTTCTTTTTTTTTTTTCCTTCCGGAATCGAATTCTCTCAATTTCGCAGACGAGAACGATGCTGATTTGGTGTCCCCCGCGAATGAGCCCATTTTCAGCCACAATGCATGTGAATTGTAGCCGTGTAACTGTCTCAAACAGTTCAATTTCAGCTTGAACCACCTCATTTTCAGCTCTCATAAACCCTAGCCGAGTCTCTGGACCGATATGCAAAGGTAAAAAAAACCCTAAAGCCCTTATTTTTCTTTCTGTGTTTCTCGCTCTCATTGTGCTGTTTGCATGGTGAATTCTCGATTTTGTGGTTTTGGTTGTGTCCAATTCTAGTTATTGCTTGATTGATCTCTGGTTTTGCATGTAATTGTACTTTGTTGTTTTTCTAATTGAAATCGTTGATTGATCAAAATTTTCTGTTTTGAACTAGCATTTGGGTGGTTTTCATCTCATTCTAGTTTGGAAAGTCATGGCATTTGATTGATTTTCTGTATCAACTGTTGCATGCTCTCTCTTCTGCTTATCTTCGATCTAAACAGCCCATTTGGATTTGGAGAGAAAATAAAAGAAATCTCTTCCAAAGAGGAGAGAAATGAGGGGGAAATGAAGTTTCTCTTGCAACCCATTTTTTAGTTTCTCCGAAAGTAGAGAAATTGGGAGAGAAAAGAAATGGGGTTATTACTAACATTTTATAATATCAAAATTGTCTGTACTAATTAAAACATAAAAAAGTTATTAGTAATATAACCTGTTAAAAGTTCTTTTCTTTTATGTAGTATATCCAAAGATTGGAGAGATATCACTTTCTTTTCTGTTCTCTCCAACTGAACCAAACTAGTGAGAGAGAGAGAGAACACAAATCTTTTCTCTCTTGGAAAAAGTTATTCCCGCTCTCTTGTTCAATTATTGTTATTTATAGTTTTCCCCTTATCTATGTACTGCTATGTTATGCTCATAGCACAGGTACTGAAATGAATAAAGCAATCGTAGTGCATGTGCATCATGACTATATTACATGCATGAGTCATAAAGACTAATGGGGATAGAACTATTGATTGGGTAATACCTTGCTCCAACAGGAAGAAGAGAAGCATCGAATCATGCACTTTGATGGATTGCTTAGTGTAGACTACGAGAGTGGAAGAATAACTTAGTTGAGGATTAAAACCTTTAGCTACTAGAATAAAATTATTTTATTTTTGAGCAAGGGATAATCATGCAAATGGAGTTTTAAAATTTTTGTTAGGATAATCTTGTTTCAGTTGACATATTAGTGTTGACCCTGACGTGACGGTTTTCATTTTATTCTATTAATGCAAATTGTGGGAATTTAAAAGAGACTATTCAGAAACAAAAGCTAGGAGACAAAACTTCAAAATTCTTCATCGAAAGGGAAAATGATATATATTTTACAATTCAAATAATCCAAATACTCAGCTCTAAGGGCCCTGAATACCCAAATCACCACAATTTTTTAAACCTCTTTTGATGCCTTCAAAATATTCCTTTTGCGAGTGGAAACACATGGATAAAGTTGAATTGATTGTTTGGTGTATCAAACCGAATCATACAATATGTATCGCAAATTGTATGATTCTTATCTTATGCGATTCACCCCCAAGTATGAATCAATTGCTTGGTTTATCAAAATGAATTGTATGATATGTACCGTGAATTGTTTGATTTTGATGACAAAGTGTGTGAGTTGCATTCTTATTAATGCTGCACATATTCCTATTGAGAGATATTCACCACGTATGTTGTGTTGGAGAGAGTTCGAGAAGTGTTATTGAAGTGTTTGAAAATTGAAATTATGGAATTTCAATATACATGTAAAGTAGCATCTAACACAATTCAAGTAGTGTAATAGAAGTGACATGGCAGCTTTGTTGGATACTGTTCTTTTCTAGAAGTGTCTTTGTTACTTAGATTCTTATTACTCTGGATTAGATGTATTTTCTTTCTTTTATTTTCTTCTTCATTCCTTTTACTGGTTAGAGATGTAAATAAATAATGAAAAATTTCTATATCAGCTTGCTTTAATATTCTTTTTCTTTCTTTTTTCTTTTGGTGCATGCATGCCATTGTGCAATCCATCCATTCTGTCAGCCTCTGATCTGTGATATATATTGACTATTGTATATTTGTTTTGTTGAATGTATTGCTTCGAGTCTTTGATGTTGATATGAATTTTGAGAAGAGTTCTGCAAACTGATATATAGTCTATTCTTTTCAAGTTGTTGTCATTCCTACGTGTGTTTTCCTCTTCGTCTATTTATTTATTTATTTTACATTTTTGTTTCAATGTTTGGACTTTTATTTCCTAATCTTTGTTATTTTTGATGCTTTGCTCGAATACTAATATGAATAGAGAAGAGCTTAGGAATATTATGACTGTGAGAGCAAAACCAGTAGGTGCATTGCTTTTGAAAAATAATGGTCGTAGAGAGGATGAAGGAGAGTCAAAGCTTGAACCACATGTGGGGTTAGAATTTGATTCAGCAGAAGATGCCCAGGAATTTTATAATTTATATGCAGCACAAGCTGGATTCAAAATTAGGATTGGGCAGTTGTATCGGTCCAGAGTTGATGGATCAGTTATTTCTCGAAGATTTGTGTGTTCAAAGGAGGGTTTCCAAACAAATTCCAGAACTGGTTGTCCAGCATTCATAAGGGTACAAAAAAGTGATTCTGGGAAGTGGGTTCTGGCCAATATCAAGAAAGAGCACAATCACGAGCTTGGACTTCCGGGGGAAATTCGTCCGCCTCATATACAAAGGAAAGCCCATCCAGCTCCAAGATCGTCAGTTGTTGTGTCTACCAGGACAGGAATAAGATCACTCGAGGAGGAGGATGGACGCCCTAGCCCGTCAGAGGCCATGGATGTCAAACGCTTCAAGAGGGAAGAAGTAGAAGGAGTACCCAAAGTTGAACCTTACAAAGGTCTTGAATTCAGTTCTGCTAATGAAGCTTACAAATTTTACCATGCATATGCGGCTAGTACAGGGTTCAAAGTCCGGATTGGTCAGTTGTTTCGTTCAAAACATGACGGATCAATTACGTCTCGAAGATTTGTGTGCTCAAAGGAAGGGCGTCAACACCCTTCAAGAGTAGGTTGTAGTGCATTCATGAGGATACAGAGACAAGAATCAGGAAGATGGGTAGTTGATCGTCTTCAAAAAGAACACAATCATGATCTTGATTCTCCTATGGATGCTAGTAGGCTAATTGCCACCGGTCCAAAGGGATTTAAAGAGGAAGTAAGTTGTGGGCTGGAAAATTTGGATTTAGTTGAAACAAATGGTGGCCTCAACCTTGTCAAAAGAGGCCGTCAATGTAATATTGGAAGTGATTGGTACCCTGTACTACTTGACTATTTTCAGTCTCGTCAAGCAGAAGACACGGGATTCTTTTATGCAGTGGAAGTTGATGATGGCAAATCCATGAGCATTTTCTGGGCTGATGGCCGGTCTAGATTTTCATGCAGTCAATTTGGGGATGCCATTGTTTTCGATACAGCATACAGGAGCAGTAGTTATTTAGTGCCATATGCTTCTTTTATTGGAATTAACCACCATAGGCAACCAGTCCTTCTTGGTTGTGCTTTGATAGCTGATGAATCAGAGGAATCTTTTACTTGGGTGTTTCAAACGTGGCTTAGGGCAATGTCAGGGCGCCGTCCTTTGTCAATAATAGCTGATCAAGACAAGGCCATCCAACATTCAATTGCACAAGTTTTTCCTGGCACACATCATCGTTTTTCTACGTGGCAAATTAAGGCAAAGGAACAGCGGTACTTGGGTTCACTGCTTTCCATGGATACGGAGTTCAAATATGAATATGAGACTTGCATTTGTCAGAGTCAGACACCCAATGAATTTGATTCTGCATGGAATGTACTTCTAAACAAATTTGACTTGAAGGAGAATGCTTGGCTGAAGGAAATGTATAGAATGCGCAAAAGTTGGGTTCCATTGTATATAAGAGGCACATTCTTTGCAGGCATCCCTATGGATGGAAGCATGAAATCATTTTTCGGTACTTTTTTAAACGCCCAAACACCCCTGAATGAATTTGTTATACGATATGAAAAAGCTCTTGAACAACGTCGCGAGGAGGAAAGAAAGGAGGATTTTAACTCATTTAACATGCAAGCTGTTTTGCACACAAAAGACCCCATAGAAGAACAAGGTAGAAGGCTTTACACAATCACAATGTTCAAAGCATTCCAGAAAGAGGTTTTGGAATGCTATAGTTATGTCGGAATAAAGATTAATGTGGAAGGTGCTATCAGTAGATATATGGTGCAGAATTGTGGGGATGGGGATGAGAGGAATACCGTTGCCTTCAATGCATCAAACCTTAATGTTAGTTGTAGTTGTAAAATGTTTGAATTTGAAGGTATGCTTTGTAGACATGCATTGAAAGTCTTTCAGATAATGAACATAAGGGAACTTCCATCTCGCTACATTTTACACCGGTGGACCAAAAATGCAAAGTACGGTATTCTACGGGATGTTGATTCAGGAGGTGGCTCTCAAGATTTCAGGGCTTTGATGCTGTGGAGTTTAAGAGAAGAAGCCTGTAATTATATCGAGGCGGGGACAACATCTCTAGAAAGATACAAACTCGCTTTTGAGATTATGCAAGAGGGTAGGAGAAATCTTTGTTGGCAAAACTGAGAAGTATCTTGGACAAAGGTTAGATATCTTCTTCTTTTTCATTTTTTTTTCTTGTCACTTCGATCAGACATCTCCTTAATTCTGAATTCTGTAGTTTGAACTGCATGTGTGGCTAGTTTTCTGGCATGTTTCAGCCCATATATTCAGAGGTCGTTGACTTCCTAGGATACTAATACTTTATAGTTAAGAAGAGAATTTGTGATTTGGATTGTTATGGATTTCTATCTCAAAGTTGCATTTGGATGGGAAGGTCTTCCGTTGTGCAGCTAGGATTTTTTTTAAAACAACTCCTATTGAATTGTCTGCTAACCCCTTGGTTTTGTGGTCTAATTTGTGGGTGCTAGCAAGGCACTGAACCAAACCAAACCAAACTGAGCACTTGTGTCTCAATCAAGTGGGGTTAGCTACAAGGCACGGGGCCATCGTTCAAATTTTCATTGCTGGAATTGTTCAAAATCTTAAGTGGATTCATTTTGTAGTTTTTTTCTTTTTTTTGAGATCAGCTCATATATGAGGTGTGGGCCCCTCTGTTTCTCTCTCTCCTTCGCTCCTTCCCTTGAACTAAGTTTAGATGCTGAGAGAGTGAGAATCGAAAAGGAAATTAATGTCTCCTCTATACTTTTTCATGTAGAGGTTTAATTAGGAAGGCTGTGAATTTGGTTTTAGCAGAGTAGGTGGTGGTGGTGGTGGTGCGGTATATTTAGGATGTGGAATAATTGGTTGTACTAGGCTTAGGTGGCGGCAATGAAAGAACTCTAGAGAAATTAAATTGTTAGTCCCTTCACGTCTCACTATCTTGGCACGTAATATTAAAGTGAACAACTGAAAATTTCCTTTATTTCTGTTTCATAATCTCTTTACATTAAATTGCCAACCAAGATGAAGGAATACACTAAATTTCCCAAAATTCTCGTTTTTCCGTACTTTTTTGCTGTTCTTGATGCAGTTTTCTGAATAAATCACCTTTAATTGACATTTTGTTCTTTACTTTCTAGGTAACCAAAGATAGCTATCTACATAGATAGCAGCAAGGTAGCCTAGAACATGACCGATAGAAACTGCTCGAGGTCTCATGCTCTGGCTTTTGACATGGATTTTGCGTTGATGCTCTTTTTGAAAGCTGAAAAATGTGTACTCACATAATCAGCTATCTTTTGTAGTTGTCTTCATCCTTTTTGTTTGAAAGATTGACTGGAGCTATCTCTTCTGTTCATTTAGTTGTTTAAATTAATGGTTAAATATTTTCAATCATATGAAAACAAAAAAGAAATTGATGTTCAAGTATCGGCCCCAATTCAATTATAGATTGGATCTCAGTCAGGTAGGGTGGATGTACAGTGATTTTTAAAAATATTTATTTATTTATTTATTTTTTGGGTAAGTTACAGTGATTCTTTTTACTCAACTCTTTCGGAATGAAAATTGATCAGTGATGATAGTCTAACCCTGAAAAGAAAATATTCATCATGAACTTATCCAATGTTTACAAATCACCCTTGTCCTCCCAAATGAGCTCTGATTCTCTTCTGTTTCTACTTGGTGAGAAAGTTGGATCCTTGCAATCTTGCTGACTATTCAAATTATATAAAAAAATACCAGAGAATTGTCTTTTTTTCTTGCTGAGTTTTGTATGTACATATGAAGTATGAAGTTTATTGTATAAATCTACATAGGAGTTGGAAAAAAAATAGATAAATAAATCCATCTTGTGGTTATATATTGGAAAAAATTTACTTTTTGCCCATATGGTTTGGTCCATGTACTTTCTCATCATTTGGAAAGAATGACATTATGCACCACAGGACATTTTGTTGAAATTAATAGCAAGTGTGAGATATGTAGGGTATAAGGGAGTTATGTGCTTATTTTAAATATTACGAGCTTAATTCGCATATAGAGTAAAACACATGATGTGAGGGTAAATTGTCTAAAAACAAAAAACAAAAGAAAGTAAATTGTCTTAAAAAAAAAGAAAAAGGAAAAAGATAGGCTACTTAAGTAGATGAGAATTTTAGTCCTTTTGCTTAAGTTGTTAACTGGTTTGCCGGTGGACGCTACCTATTTATTTTAAAATCACAGGGATTATGTGCACATTGACACCAAACTACAAGGGGAAAAAAGTGAAATTTTTATTTTAAAATCACGGGGATTATGTGCACATTGACACCAAACTACAAGGGGAAAAAGTGAAATTTATAGCACAGGAAATCATGCATAGGTGTACGTGTATAATGGAAAGCTCAATGCTCATCACTCCTCTTGACATCAAATGAGCCATCATCAGTGATGACTAAAGTACAACCAGTCTCACATTTCTGGTATAAATTTACCTAAATACATCATTAAACTTTAGCATATCTACGATTCAGAAAACTGGGGAGGTATATGCCTACAAAAAGGTTAGTTGTGTCCAAGGCACAAGTTAAACAACACAAATGGGAAACAACGGATCATATAGGATTCAACAATACAAAATCGTGCCATCATCAACCAAGTCAACTAGATTAACCCGCCAGAACAGCATGACAGAAAAACCCAACATGATAGAACCAAATGGGTCAGTTGGGTCCAAGGCACAATTAAAACAACACAAAAATGGGAAACAAAGCATCATTTAGGATTCAGCAATACAAAATTGTGACATCATCAACCAAGTTCACTAGATTAACAGCTAGAACAGCGTGACAGAAAAACCCAACATGATAGAACAATAGATATCCCTCACTGAAGGCTCTCTACCTAAAACATCTTCTTTTCACAAGCCATATTGATGAATAGTTTCCTCCACAAAGGATCCTGAAACATCCTCAAGGCCTTCTCATAAAATGGCCCTTCTACCATTTGGATAAATTTGAGAAAATGCAAGCATATTGAAAGGGAGGCACGATCTCCGCCAGAACTTGAAGTCGGAGCCTCAATGTTGCTTGAGCTTGAACTTTCTTTGTTCGTGGATGATTGACAAGTCCCAGCTTCATAGGTTTCAACCATTACTTGGAGAATCCTAACCAAAAGATTGTTTTGATCAAAGAGAAATGAAGAAACTAACAATTGAAAAAACATAATCCAAAAGTAATCCTTTAAAGTCAGTACAATTATTGTGCCACAGAAAGTTCATCTAAATCAAATGGAGAAATAAAAGAGTAGTTGGAGATCAAATATATAGCAAGATTGCACATAATTCCACCGTTGTGTGCACAAGGCTCAAAGATTTTGGTTTGTGGTTAGTTCATCTAGTTTAAACCTTAGTAGCAAGAAACTCCTATGGGGGCCTTGCTTCTCGCTTCCACCCCTACCTCCACTCCCAATCCCAACTTTAAACTCTTCTATAGGGCAGAATTGCAAGTATATCAGTTTTTGGTAACTGAGTGTGGTGGCAGCTATATCAGTTTTGACAATGAGTGAACAGAATTGCAAGTACACAACCTGGGTAGATGTAGATAATTGACAATAAGAGTTTAATCACCCAACTACACTACAGCTATCCAAGGTCTCATGGGATACATCATATATCTGAACCTAATTGCCCATAGTATTTGAACTATCTGTTTTGTTTCACAGGATATTTAACAATATGCATCAGTCCTCTAAAATCATGTCATCACAAAGAAATAGGGGTATCATTGAATCTTTTAAGTTCTAGGCTTAAAAGAACGATACGTCTCTAATTCTTTAGTATCATGCAACTTCGGAAACCACTGGGAACTATTTTCACAAGAGTTTGAATTTGGGAAACTAAACATAAAAAATTATGATCGATATCAGTGAGAAATTTTATCCCCCTTGTGGAGGCAAGGGATTGTGGGATGAGAAAAAAAGAAAAAAACAATAAAAGAGGATATGTGGACCACTTCAAATAACCATCAAAATAAAACTACAAGGTGTTTTATCCAGAACCTGAATATCTAATAAAATATTCTATCTCAATGACAAGCCTTTCATATTATCTCTCACTTCTTCACATTCAAGCCTTGCTCCCAATGCTCACAAAATTCTCAACTGCAACACACATACTACTGAGAAAGTCCTTCATACATGATCAAGTACTACATGAATGACGAAAATTATTACCTCCAATAGGACTCTGAATAGGTAAAAGATAGTCAAGATGGTGGATCATTAGTTTGTATGTATAAGGACTCCATAGCTGTGTTCAATACAATTATCACAACTTGCACAACAAAAGTACAAAAAAAATTATAGTACGGATTGGTGCTTCCCTAACCCCCTTCACTTTCCCCTTCTTTCCCATCATTTCCCCTCCTCTATGCACCTTTTTACTCACCCACAACCAACCACCTCCCCTCCCATACCCCACCCCCACAATTAACAACCTCCACCATCCCATCCCATCCCATCCCACCTCTATGGAAAACAGTTTCAAGATCAAAATGGAAAAATCTTTTTTAAAGGACCAATATGAGAAATTAACCATACTTTAGGAGGTGAAAGTGTAATTTACTCTTTTATATAATCATTTTCACAAAGTGGCTGCTCTGAGAACATTTGCACACACTTCTACATACACTTTAATTAAACACAATTGCAGTAGTAGTGGGAATAAAATAAATAAAAAAATAAAACAATGAACAATATATTAGTATTTATGTAACTCATCATGGTGGTTGCTATCTTAACATTCAAAGATGACTAGATAATGCTCAAAGATGACTAGATAATACCATTGCCATACTTAGGCCCCGTTTGGGGACTTACTTTTTTAGTCAATTAGTCAAAAAGTTACTAAATTAGCCAAAAAGCCAACAACTCATACCAAAAAGTCAAAGATTTTTTTTTCTCTCTACTTTTTGCACATCTTTTCGTAATTAACCAAAAAGTCATCCCAAACATACAAATTTTTTTTACCTACCTTTTTAGCCAAATAGTCAAAAAGTTACTAAATTAGCATGTTCCCAAACGAGGCCTTAGTTTAAAAATGGCATGCTTCCCCTCTCTTGGTTTATTTGCTGTCCTGCAACTTGTACAATCTCAATTTTCATTAAAATTTTGTTTATCATATATCCTAAAAATCCAGGCATGGCATTCTAATTGATAGAAATGCAATTGAGTAGATAGTACAAGAAATGCATATGTGAGATCCACAATCATCTTCATATCCTAAATGGTGTCAATTTCGCTATGTTTGAGTGATTTTCTTTTTGTCCATAAGCATTAAGTGTAGCATTAAGTTTAAGAGTATGAATATATAAACATTAAACAACAATAGAGGGAACCAACAAAGACATTTCCATTTTTACCAATATAGTTGATAATACCTTTTCATTCTTTCACACGCTTCACATTGCCTCCCAATCCCGTGGATGCGTTCAGGAGAGATGAGGCTCTCCACATAGGTGCCCCCAGATGTAAAGCTACCTGGAATGCCACAAACCACCATATCCCTTGATGTTTCGTCTTTCGAATTGTATACAACCAATTGCTCTTCATCCCTTGACAACAAAAACTCACCATCTTCCAATAAACACACCACGTCAATCCTAGGGATGTCTTCACGCTTACAAATACTAAATTTAGTCCAAGACTCCTTTTTCCCGTACTCCTTCATCACCCAAACATCAGTAAAAGCCGGTAAACAAAGATACCCTCCAAGAACTGCTGGATAAAACCACGGCAACACAGCATTATTAACGAAAGGCGGTGGCAAAAATTCCCGAAAAACTTCATTCCCCAAATCAAAAGCAACAATCACAGAAATATAATCCGAACTCCTCTGAGCTAGCCAATGAATACAACCATTTAGATAAACCCCAGATGGATCACCAGCACAATGAAGATAAGAGGAACCTTGAATCTTCCTCCAAGAATAAGATTTCAATGAATACACACTTACAATGGTGTTGGTTTCAGTAGTAGCTCCAGATTCCTCATCAACACCGCCACCATAGTAAGAAAGCATCACAATTTTGAAATCGTCACTCATCGAATCATACCCTAATCCACACAGATTACACGCATTGACTGAATTGAGGGCAAAAGGAGATTCGGGTATCTTCTTAGATTCTCGAGTAGATGGGTTTAGCAAATACATGGCAACATCTGATTCATTGAGAGCTAAAACCAAGCCATTGCAAGAACCCAGAATCTCGGCCCACACATCGTACGATTCATCTTCAACTGATGGGAAATGGATCTCTGTAGCGACTGGAGAGTCGACGGAGTAGTCGACGGAGAAGAGAATGTGAGAGTCGGAGATGAGAATGAGTCGATCGGGCATTTTGTTGGTGGTTTGAGTGAAGTGGGTTTGCGCGAAATGGGGATTGGAGATTAGGGAGCACCATGAATGAGATACGGATTTGAATCGGGAAAGAGACTTGACTGGTAATCGACAGAGTATCTCGGCGATGAGCTCTTGGGGGAGGATTGGAAAATCGGACCTGGTCGCCTTCATTGTTCACACACACTTCAGGGCTATGTGTATTTTTCATTCTCATTCATGCACATGGTAGAATTTTGGGCAAATTACATATACACCCCTCCAGGTTTGGTTAAATTACAGATACCTCCCTGAGGTTTCGGAAATTACATCTCGCCCCCTGAGGTTTGTATTTTCATAACAATTTACCCCCTGAGGTTTATATTTCATAACAAATTACCCCCTAATTTCTTATGCAAATATAGCATTCAGGGGGGAATTCGTAATTTCTCAAACCTCAGGGGGTATCTGTAATTTTGTCAAACCTGGAGGGGTGTATATGTAATTTGCCCTAGAATTTTCTACGGTGGTCATGGATGCCAAGACCAATTGCAAGTTAAAAAATTTCAAATTTAAGTAAAATTTTGATAAAAAATTTGACTTGATAACTTTTATTGGCCTCGTTTGGAAAGTGGCTATTTTAGTAGGTTATTTAGCTATTTTAGTTTTGTGTTTAAGAAGATGAGATGAATTTTTAGTTGAGTTGTTATATTGGAAAGTGTGTTGAAATGATATTTAAATTTAAAATGACAAATTTGTCCCTAAAAATATGTTTTTTTAAATTGATATCAAGGGATAAAATCGTAATTTACTTATTGATGGAACAAGTGCTGTAGCTGACAGTGTAGGCTGTGCCTACACAGCCGGCTGTGCAGCCTATATATTTTTTTTTTTTTTGAAAAAGCTTCCAACAGTGTTGCTTTTGGGCTTTTTTCTCAAAATAGGCTATAATAGCCTCATTTCTGGCTTCCAAACAGCGCCATTCTAATACTAAAATTAGTATTTTTTTTTACATTTTTGCTTGTTTGAGGGCACGTTCGGACATAAAATTTGGGAGGATGTCTTAAAAGTCATTCGGGTATGAATAAAAATTTATCAAAATTGTTTTTGGTCGACATTCGGGAATATTCGGACGACACTCAACGGTAAATTTAAATTTAATAAAAGATGAAAGACTCCCTTTATTTAATGAAAATTTTGATTTTGCCTTTATTTAATATACCTTTAGTGAAAGGGTTGGAGCGTCTCATTTAACACTTTTCATCAAATTTCAAATTTGATAAAGTATCTGATGTTGGATTAGAGATACTCTAATAAAAAAATATAAAAAATAGATATCTCTAAAAATCCTTCCAAGTTAAGGAAGTTTCACAAGAATTTCAACTGGCGAAAATGTGGACAAAATGACCACAACACTAGGACTTACAAGTCAGAGATGCAGGGCTTGTTTAGTTTGTTTTTGAGAGAGTTATTTTTAAAAAAAGTTTCAAAATTTTGTTTGCTTTGTGGCTTTTCTTAAAAAAATTTCAAAATCATTTTCCCTCTCTTACACATCAATCAATCATTTTTTCTCACTCCTATCTGGTTCTCAATCACTTTTTCTCTCACAAATATCTACTCAATTACAATAAAATATTAAATCATCCCAAACTCCCAAACTCTAAAACTACTTTCAAAATATATAACCAAACAAACCAAAAAAATTTCTAAACTCTCTTCCCAATTTTTTTTTTTTTGAAAATCACTCTCTCAAAAGCAAACTAAACACACCCGCAATCTTTAGTAAGTTCTTCAAAACACAACCTCTATTTTGTTTAAATTAATTTTTTTTCCCAATGTTTTCCTTAAGTCAAATTTGTTGGTGTTTGTAACAGAGGAATAACAATCAAGGGCCTCCACCTATGACACCTCCACAAGCATCGCCTACACTATTCAACCCTCAAGGTCCTACGCATAGGAGGCCACCACCATTCAACTCTCAAGGTCCAATTCCAAGGAGGCCACCACCAGTTGCAGCTTTCAACTCTCAAGGTCCAACTCCAACTCCAAAGAGGCCACCACCTGTTGCAGTTTTCAACTCTCAAGGTCTAACTCCAAGGAGGCCATCACCAGCTATAATGTTCAACATTCAAGACCCAAGTCCAAGGAGGCCACCACCAACTGCAATGTTCAACATTGAAGGCCTAATGGGTGGAAGACCAACAACACTTGCAAAAATGGCAGCTCCAATTAAGGGTAGCACATCAAAGAAGAAAGGGTCAACACAATAAATCTTAATATATTTTGTGTGACATTACCTATTTTGTGTGCATTTATGATGTCTTTATATTATCTAGTTTTTGGGATGTAATAATGATAATTAGAGGCAAAACTTAAAAAACTTTATTTAGTTTTAGTTATAAAGTGTTGTTACTTTTGTATAATCAACTATAATATTTTCATGAATGCAAATGATGATTACTTTGTTTAAAATGGGTGGAGTAGCGGTTGGTGGTTCTTGGTTGCTTTTGTGGATTAGTTTTTGTGATTTTAATTATTTGGTGGTTGATGTGTTTTTGTTTATGAAACAAGTTCAATATCATATTAAAGTTCTGTTGTGATTAACTAATGTTAAAAAAAAATGCCTAAGATGTAGAAAATAAATAAATTTGCAGTTGACCGGTCTAACGTCTGGCCGGATGACTGGCAACATATATAGGTGAAAAGTTTGTTTTACCCCTTTACCAGTTTTGAATCTCATGTGCAGGGCACGTTTTCACCTTTGCCATTAACAATTTGGATGTCATCTACCATTTGGACTAAACAGAACCAAAATGTGATAGTTTAGGGACCAACAAGACAAAATTAATAGTTTAAGGACTACATAAACAAAATGGTGATAGTTTAGGGGGTAAAAGCGTAATTAACTCTTAAATTTAAGTAAAATTTTGATAAAAAATTTAATTTGATACATTTCATGCTAATACTAAAATTAAAATTTTTATCATTTTTTTTTTTTTTTACATTTTCAGTTGTTTGAGAGAACGTTTAGACATGAAATCTGAGAGGATGTTGTGACAACCCTTACCTCTGATTAGTGTTAAACTGTGATTAAGCATGATAAGTAATGGATTAAGATGAAATCCTGAACTGATTGCATGAGAGTGTTGCTTTAATTGTATTTCTATCTGTTTGTCATTGAATGATCTGTTCATGTTTTAATTTTGAACTGCCAATTGAAAGGCTTATCGGCGATCGATTCAGAAATTGATTAGTGTTATATGCTAATTAGGATTTATATGATTTTATGGTAGGCCTAATTAAAATTCAATTTGGAATGATTAAATTAGAATTATTAATGTTAAATTAATTGAGCCTAGTTAATTACATGTTTTGCCATTGAGTGGGCCATTTTCTAAAACATTGTTTGGGACTTAATTTATGCATTTGATACATCATCTCATCCATCTCCAAGACCAAAATCGTGAGAGAGCTAGAGAGTTGGAAGAAAACTTGATTTCATCAAGAGTTGGTTGGAAAATTAGAGGATTGAAGAAGATTTGCAAAATTAGACTTCCATACTTGGAATTCAAGACTTAAAGTAGGAAATTCACCATCTTCATCATGAATTTGAGTTGTTACATGCATGGTTCATGGAGAATTAGTGATTAGAGTTAAGATTAGCTTAAAGTGTGGATTTGAGAGTGAATTCATGCATGCATGTCCATATCATGGAATTTTGAGGTTGTTTTCATAAAATTCTTACATGCATGTTCATATTTTAGTTGTAGTTCAAAAATTCACCATGTTTTAGAGTTTAATCTTGCATTTGGTCATGCTTTGGAGCATTAGAGTCATAAGAACTCATGCATGTTATGTTCTTGCATTGTTCTTCAAGTTTTAATTGATATTGTGTTCAATTGTCATACTTTTGGGCTTTGATTTTATAAAATGATCTTTGAAACATGTTGTATTATCGGTTTCTAAGTGTTTTCCAGAAAATTAGCTCAGAAAAATCGAATTTGAAGCTTTAGAGGTTGAAGTTTTGTGCTTGGGGATCAATCTGGAAATTCCAGATTTTTGATCCACGCTCGAGCGGAGGACTTCACGCTCGAGCGTACACTCTGAGTACATGCACTTCCGTTCGAGCGTCGAGGGTCACGCTCGAGCGTGAAATGCATATGCCCAGAAGTTCATGTGTTTTTGCAGTTCATTCGAGCGAGGTAATCTACGCTCAAGCGAGGGTCTGAGTCTCACGCTCGATCGTGGGTCGAGCGTCCATTGAGCCTGAAAAACGTGCAACCAGTACTTTTTCATGAGTTTGAAGTCCGCTCGAGCGAGGGAAGTCACGCTTGAGCGGAGCCTCTTTGTCAGCATGTCCGCTCGAGCGGGGAAAGCCATGCTCGAGCAAGACCCCTGTTTTTAGCAAATTTTGAAAAGTGTTTTAAAGTACATTTTTACATCCTCATTCTATCCTAGGCATTCCTAGGCCATGTTTAAGGCATCTTAATGAGGATAAAGTTATAGAACCACACTAAGCCATCTAGGGGCTAAGTTATATAATCCTGAGTGTGTAATTTAGTGTGTGTTCGTTCTGCAACTGTAGGGTTGGCATCCGAGGACGCTGATTAGCCTGCCAATAGCCCAGTACTCTGTGAGTAACAATGTTGTAAAGATATGTTCAATTCTAATTATTTTCTGAACGATTGACTGTATTGCTTTCTGAAGTAACATTGTTTACTGAATGAATGCTTGTTCTATTTATAAACTGTACTCGTGGCATCCATAACAACTTACTGTTACTGTACTGTTACTGCTATTGTTACAGAGATCTCTGTCAGTTCCAATGTTTGGAACTACTACTGTTTACTGTTTTGATGGCCATCAACTGATTGTTCGGTCTAATAAGACATACTGTACTGCTTTGCTATTGGACGTACCACGTATGACCGTTATGATTTCTAAATGACTGATATGGCATGAAATATGAACCACTAATTGAATAACTGATTTACTGATGCAACTAACTATTTTAATTAATGAAATGACATTCATTCTTAACCCTTTACGTATTTGTTATTCACTGGGTTTTAACTCACTGTTTATATATGTATGTAGGTGGCCAGGCACCGGACCGAAGCTAGAAGCATCAAGTTAAGCTCTTATTTTGTCAAGCCAACCATCGTGCCTCACTTCGAGGTTCCGAGTCCATTCAAGCCAAGACTGTTTTGGGGTGTCTCAGATTCACCATTTTGTCTCTGTTTTGTAATAAATGCTTGAGACCTTTGATTGTACAATTATGGTGAAGGGATTGGATCCTTAACCTGTATGTTATGTATATCTGATATATGTATATATGCTTATGGTTATGAATGTGGACTAGTCCATAAAGGTCTTTTGCATTTCAGATTTTCACAGCTCATTGGGCATCTTCTATTTACTGTTTGGCTTCCGCCAGCCCCTTATTCTGTATTATTGTTATTACTGTCAAGGAAGCCTTTGGTAATCACGGATTACTGGGTGGTTACGATGCTAAACTCATAGGGGCGGGTTTAGGGTCGTGACGAATGTCTTGAAGGTCGTCTAGACATGAACAAAAAAAAACTGTCAAAATTGCTCTTGGTGGACATCCGGGGACATCCAGGAGGATGTCTGGCTCCTTTCATTTGATGAAAGTTTTGATTTTGCCTCTAATATGACTTTGGTGAAAAGGTTAGAGCATTTCATTTGACACTTTTCATCAAATTTCAAATTTGATGAAATGATTAGAGATACTCTAATAAAAAAATATGGTTGTGAGACTTAATTTATCACCCGAAAAATAATAATGCTACATTCACTTAATTTATCATTTTTAAATGATTTTTAATGATGTGATATTGAGGTTAGATCCACATGATGAAATATTTGATAAACTAAAATTTGACACTTGTCAAAACATCATTAGGGTAGTCTTTAAGTGTGATAAATTAGGTGTCTCCAGCATTTTTTCTTCTAAAAATCACATCTAATGATGTAAATTTGACACTTGTCAACACATAATTAAGGGTGATAAATCAGGTGTCTCAAGTATTCTTTTTTTTTTTTAATAAAAAATCACTTTTAATGATGTACCTCACAAGTGTTAAATTTTAATTTATCAAACTTTCCGCCATATGAGATCTAGCATCATTAAAGATAATTTAAAAGCAATAATAACTAATCATGTGGGGTCATTTTCTCACTTTATTCCAAAAATCAATTGATGTTCAATTTTAAGAGTTGTTTTGTGAAGTGACTTATAAATTCACCTTTTTAACTTATTATAGAAAAACGTATAACCATCATTAAAGATAATTTAAAAGCGATAAATAACTGGTCATGTGGGATCATTTTCTCAGTTTATTCCAAAAATCAATTGATGTTCAATTTTAAGAGTTATTTTATGAAGTGACTTACAAAAGTTTCAAAGCCAAATCTCCAAAATCCAAATCCAAATTTCAACTTCCATCTCTTTTGCTCTTCAAAAATCACCGTAAAACTTCCATTACTCCTTTATTGTCCTTTTCTACACTAACCTCCACCTAGTCCGAATCCTCTGTCGCGTTTTCCTGCGGCTATCCCTACGGGGCCCCAAAACGACGTCGTTTTGAGGAAAAATTTCAACAAAAAAAATAAAAAAAAATGCAAAAACACAGAATCAGAGAAGAGAAAGAGGGGAAGAAGAAAGCAGAGGAAGAGAGAGAGAGAGAGAGAGAGAGAGAGAGAGAGAGAGATAGAGGGGAAGAACACAATCTTCTAATGAAAAATGTTGAACACAATCTTCAGAGATCCTCATTATCACATTCATAACCAACTCACAGAACACAAATTTCATATTCACCTTCTGGGTTTCCCTACTTAAGGCTCAAAACATCTTTCTGGCGAGAAATTGAATTTCCTCGATTCAGATGTCGGAGCGGTGGTGGAGGCTGGCAGAGGAGAAGATCTGGATGGTGGTGACGCGATGGAGGTTGTGCCAGAGATCACCGTAAGGGTTGAATTCGATGGTGGTGTCGTTGTAGCCGAGATGCTTGCTTGAGAGGGGCTTATGTCGGTTGGCGAATGCGATGTCGTTGTGGTAGGTGAAGAATTGTTCGGTGGCGAAGGAAGATGAAACCACGACGGTGGGGCGGCAGCCGAAGTGAAGGGAGAGGAAGGGAACTTTGAAGAGGGGTTAGGGTTCAAAAGCTTAATTGAGTCTGGGTTGCTTTCTCTTTTCTGATTCTGTGTTTTTGCGTCTTTTTTTTTTTTTTTTTGAAATTTTGCCCCAAAATGATGTCGTTTTGGGGCATCGTAGAGAAACGCGGTAGAGGATCCGGACTCATCTCCACCACTACTCTCCATCTTCATTGCCTCTTTCATCACGTTCCTTCGTTGTCTCACATTTACTATGATCATCCTTCTTTTACACCAAAGCACCTACATGTTTGGTTGAATTTTTATAAGTAGAATTCTATCCTACACATTATATATATATTTAGTTATGTCATTTTTTTTATTTATGATTAATTTTCTTTTTTAATTATGATATTATTTTGAAATCTTTAGTTATGTCTCATTTGGATTTGTTTATGATTTTTTTTTTTAGTTATGATTCAAAAAGTATGAGATTACATTATTTTCTTCTATAGTTATAAGGTGCATATGATAGTCTTTTCCTCTTTATAATCTTTTCTTTTTTTTCTTTAAATTCAAAAACTATTTTGGTGAAGACTTCTCTTTTATGTAAACAAAATATTTTTTGAAAATTCAAAAATATATTTTTTAATCTTTATTTTTGTCAAACTTGTTTCTATTTATTCAAAAAAAATTCAAAAACTCAATAAAATTTTAATATAATTTATTTTTATGCAACATGGATACTAAAGTGACATTTTTCTATTCAAAATTGGATAGTACTTTGTTTTAAGAATAAATTAAGAAAAATTACAAACATTAATAATCAAAGTGGAAAAAAAAATACTTTAAGAGGAGCAAAGAGTAAATCACCCATTTCTATGTAAATTTGGAAAAAATTCAAATATTAAAGGTTAAAGTGGAAAAAAAATAGTTTAAGATCCAAAGTGAGAAAAATGTAAAACTTAAGGGCAACATAGCGTAATTTACTCAAATAAATTATTTTTACAATTACAGTTTTCCTCATTTATGTTTGTTCAATTTTTTCACTTTAACCTTTGAATTTTATTTTATTTTCATTTTGGCCCTTCATGTTTTAAATGTTTGTCAATTTACTTTAAAAGTTAACTTTTGTTCAAATTAGACAAAAAATACTTTGTTAAATTTCATATAATATAAGTTAACTTTTTTTTTATTCACCAAAAAAAATATATTATTATATTAAAATTTAGATTTATGTTAGAGGTATGAGATATATGTAATAAAATATTATTATACCATATAACTATCAATATGTCATTTTTATCTAATTTTGGACATAAATTAGATTTTAGAGTAAATAAGGAAAAATTAAAACATGAAGAGTTAAAATTAAAAAAAAAATTGAAAAAAATAATCAAACATAAAAGAGAGAAAAATGTAATTTACCTATATTTTTATTGGCATCCATGACCACTAGGGGTGCTAGGGGATCGAGTTGGATCGGGTGACCTCTCATATGGTATTTGTTCGAATTTTGGTGATTGGAAAAAAATTAATCAGTATCTGTACGCTTTGTTAGTTGATGTGGATTGATCAGACCATGTGAGTTAACCAAATAGATACAGATCAATTTGACAGTTTGGACTTTACTTTTTTATGATCATTTTTATAATATTTTTTTTTGACATTTTGAACTTTACTTTTTATGTTTTTTTTTAAAAAAAAAAAAAAACTATTTTAGAGTATTTTTATTATTATTTTAGACAATATTTGAATTCAATTTTTTTTAATATGTTTTATTATTAAAATAAAATAAAAATTTCATATTTAATAAATAGTTGATATTATTACTAAATAAATATATTTCTTTTAACATACAAAGCATAAAAATCATAAAAATATAACATCATTTGTTAAAGAGGGTTGACAGGCCAGGTTAAATCGGCTGACTTCTCATCTATTATTTTTTTAAACATAGATTAATTTGTTTGGTTTTAATTTTTTGAAAATTAATTATTTTTATTTTTTATATTTTTTATTTTTAGTGAATATTTTAAAATATTAAGTAATTTTTTTACTTTTTTAGATGCACCTTACTTGAATATATCTATTGAGTAAAATATTTGTAAAAAAATATTAAATACATAAAAATATGAAAAATATACTGAATTTTTATTTTTATTTTTGTATTTTTGGTATTTAGTATATTTTTTTTACAAATATTATATTTTTAAAATATATTTATATTAGGGGTATCTAAAAATTAAAAAATTATTTAAAAAATTAAAAAAATAAAAAATTTTAATTTTCTAAAAAGCGAATCTTGAAATCCAAACCAGCTGAATAGATTTGAAAGTTTTCTACCAACATCAAAACTGGCTATAAGAGAATAAATTTACAAAAAAATGTTAAAAGGTTTTAAAAATTTTATTAAATATTTAACATGAATTTGAGACTTGACTCACATTGTGTGGTCTTACGCTTAATTCATGCGACTCATTTCATAAAAAATTTTGGCTGGCAGAATATTAGGGTCAGTTTTGACGTATCCATGGGATTCATAAGGAACCCTAATCAGCACAGAAAAAACTCCTTATGATATCCCTCAAGTGTGAACTATGAAGGCGACAAGGTCCGATTCTCCAATCCTTCCCCAAGAGCTCATCGGCGAGGTACTCTGTCGATTACCAGTCAAGTCTCTTTGCCGATTCAAATCTGTATCTCATTCATGGTACTCCCTAATCTCCGATCCCCACTTCGCCCAAACCCACTTCACTCAAACCACCAACAAAATGCCCAATCGACTCATTCTCATCTCCGACTTTCGGACTCTCTTCTCCGTCGACTACTCTGCCCAAATTCCCGTCGCAACAGAGCATACTTTCCCATCAGTTGAAGATGAATCGTACGACGTGTGGTCCGGGATTCTGGGTTCTTGCAATGGCTTGGTTTTAGCTCTCAATGAATCAGATTTCGACAAGTATTTGCTAAATCCATCGACTGGAGAATCGAAGAAAATACCCGAATCCCCTTTTGCCCTCGATGCAGTCAATGCGTATAATCTGTGTGGATTAGGTTACGATTCGACCACTGATGATTACAAGGTTGTGATGCTTTCTTACTATGGTGGTGGTGTTGATGACGAAACTGGAGCTACTACTGAAACCAACACCATTGTAAGTGTGTATTCATCGAAATCTGATTCTTGGAGGAAAATCCAAGGTTCCTCTTATCTTCATTGTGCTGCTGATTCACCTGGGGTTTATCTAAATGGGTGTGTTCATTGGCTTGCTCAAAGGGGTTCCGATTATTTTCCTGTCATTGTTGCTTTTGATTTGGGGAATGAAACTTTCTGCGAATTTTTGCCACCGCCTTTCGTTAATAATGCTGTGTTGCCGTGGTTTTATCCAGCAGTTCTTGGAGGGTATCTTTGTGTTCTTGGAGGGTATCTTTGTTTAGTGGCTATTATTGATGTTTGGGTGATGAAGGACTACGGGAAAATGGAGTCTTGGACTAAATTTACTATTGGTAAGCCTGATGACATCTCTAGGATTGAATTGGTGGGTTTATTGGAAGATGGTGAATTTTTGTTGTCAAGGGATGCAGAGCAATTGGTTGTATATAATTCGAAAGACGAAACAGCGAGGGATATGGTGGTTTGTGGCATTCCAGATAGCTTTACATCTGGGGGAACCTATGTAGAGAGCCTAATCTCTCCTGAACGCGTCCACAGGATTGGGAGAGAATGTGAAGCGTGTGAAAGAATGAAAAGGTATTATCAACTATATTGGTAAAAACGGAAATTTCTTTGTTCCTCTATTGTTGTTTAATGGTTATATATTCATACTCATAATGCTTATGGACACAAAGAAAAATCACTCAAACATAGTTAAAATTGACACCATTTAGGATATGAAGATGATTGAGGATCTCACATATGCATTCCTTGTTCTATCCACTCTATTGTATCTCTATCAATTAGAATGCCGCGGCTGAATTTTTAGGATATATGAGAAACAAAATTTTAGCCAAGATTAAGATTAAACAAGTTACAGGACAGCAAATAAACCAAGAGAGGGGAAGCATACCGTCTTTAAACTAAGTGTGGCAATGGCATTATCATGTCATCTAGTATTTGCTAAATCCATCGACTGGAGAATCGAAGAAAATACCCGAATCCCCTTTTGCCCTCGATGCAGTCAATGCGTATAATCTGTGTGGATTAGGTTACGATTCGACCACTGATGATTACAAGGTTGCGATGCTTTCTTACTATGGTAAAAATGGAAATTTCTTTGTTCCTCTATTGTTGTTTAATGGTTATATATTCATACTCATAATGCTTATGGACACAAAGAAAAATCACTCAAACATAGTTAAAATTGACACCATTTAGGATATGAAGATGATTGAGGATCTCACAGATGCATTCCTTGTTCTATCCACTCTATTGTATCTCTATCAATTAGAATGCCGCGGCTGAATTTTTAGGATATATGAGAAACAAAATTTTAGCCAAGATTAAGATTAAACAAGTTACAGGACAGCAAATAAACCAAGAGAGGGGAAGCATACCGTCTTTAAACTAAGTGTGGCAATGGCATTATCATGTCATCTTTGAATGTGGATATAGCAACCACCATGATGAGTTACATAAATACCAATATACTGTTCATTGTTCTATATTTTTATATTTCTATTTTTATTTTAATTCTATTCCCACTACTACTGCAGTTGTGTTTAATTTAAGTGTATGTAGTAAGTGTGAGCAAATGTTGTTCTCAGAGCAGCCACTTTGTGAAAATAATTCCATAAAAGAATAAATTACACTTTCACCACCGAAAGTATGGGTCATTTCTCATGTTGCTCCTTCAAAAAAGATATTTCTACTTTGGTCCTTAAACTATTTTTGGTTTCTCATTTTTGTCCATTTACCAACTCTCGCTACTGTTAATGGGTAGTTTTGGATTTTCAAAAATTAAGTGTCACACTTTGGTCCTTAAAAAAATTAAGTTTTCTTGTTTTAGTTCCTAAAAAAATTCCTACTTTAGTGCCCAAACCCAAACCCAAACCCAAACCCAAACCCAAAAACCATCGCCATCCCAACACCCATTCATTTCAAAAACCAACTTCACATCGGATGAAAATATAGAAGTTATAGTGGGTATGCATCGTTAGAGAAGCAAAAAGGCTGTGAATTTCTGGGGTTAGTGGAAGAGGTCAGGTGGTGTGTTTGCACCATTAGTAGAGGGAATAGCAGGAAAGGGAAATGGGGAGTTTATAGTGGAGGGCAAGCGAGGGAAGGAAAACCAAAAGGGAAGGGGGTTGGTTGTAAGAGATGACAAGTGGCAATGGTTTACAGTAGAGGCCGTGAAAAGGAAGGGTGGAGAGAAATGGGTGGGCCGTGATCAGTGACAAGTGGAGGTGGTCTATGAAAGAGGGTTGCATGTTGAAAGAGATTATATTTTAGAAGAGAAAATAGAGGCGGTGGATGAGATGGGGAGGTTGTTAATTGTGGGAGTGGGGTGAAAAGGTGCATAGAGGATGGGAAATGATGGGAAAGAAGGGGAAAGTTAAGGGGGTTAGCAAAGTACCCATCTGTTCTATAATTTTTCTGTACTTTTGTTGTGCAAATTGTGGTAATTGTAGTGAACACTGCTATGGAGTCCTTGCACATACAAACTCATTGTCCACCATCTTGACTATCTTTGACCTTTTCAGTGTCCTGTTGGAGGTAGTAATTTTCGTCATTCATGGAGTACTTGATCATGTATGAAGAACTATCTCAGTTGTATGTGTGTTGCAGTTGAGAGTTTTGTGAGCATTAGGAGCAAGGCTTGTATGTCAATATGTGAGAGCTAATATGAAAAGCTTATCATTGAGATAGGATATTTATTAGATATTCAGGTTCTGGACAAAACATATTGTAGCTTTATCTTGATGATTGTTTGAAGTGATCCAAATATCCTCTTTCATAGTTTTTTTGGGTAAATTACACTGACCTCCCTTGAGTTTACCTTAATTATAGGGACCTCCCCTATAGTTTCAAAAATAACACTAATCTCCTCTACTTTTGAAAATAATACACAGATTCCCCCTTCCTATTAGAATGACGTTAATAAAGTAACAAAAACAGTGACATCAGTCACAATAAACATGCAAATGCCCAAAATACCCTTGGCATCCTTTATAAAACCATACACCCCTTCCAACTATTTGCTTCCAATTTCTAGCACCTGTTAACTGTCCCTCCAAAGTCTCTCTCTCTATAACCTTGCTTGACATGGATGAAGATTTCATGTGAGCTCTCACTCTTCTTCTCTCTTATTTCTGTGTATTTTTTTTTTGGTGAACTATGTATTTTTATTTTTATGTATATGTATATATTGTATGCATGCACAGGTATAGTGATATGGCATCATCAAGCAATGAAAGCAACATATTGAAATATAGAAACAAAACATGTTTTTGTGGTCAAAAGGCAGCTATCAAGGTGACACAATCTGAAAGAAATAACAACAAAGGAAAGTTGTACTATGCTTGTACAAAAAGAAAATGCAAATTCTGGGATTGGTGCAAGCCTGTTAACTCAACTGATGAAAGTATTGATATTGTTCAAAGGCCACTACCTCAAGGCAATTTCAAGGATGTGCATACAAGACTGCAAGTACTTGAAGATAACGAAGGATATATGAAGCTACTAATGATCATAAATTTAGTCATAATTTTGTTTGCCCTGCTTGTTGCCATTATGAAGTAACCTATTTATCATATGTAAAGCTTGTTCTATGGGTTAAACTTGTGCTAGTTTTTGTGTAATGAAATATGTAAACCCTGTTCTATTTAAGTGTAAGACAACAAGCTTGTATTAGTTTTTCCTTGGAATGAAAGCATGGCAAATCCTAAAATGTGTCCCAATTATGAGTGCTTAAGACATATATAAGCAAGTTCAAATATCAATGCTTCATAGTTACATTTGATGTTTCATAGTTAGTTGACAGTTAAATTCCAAAAGAGTTACAAAAGATTCACATCTCCAAAAAAGAAGCAATCACTATCTCATAGTTAAGCACTATGCTCCTCATCTATCATTACATCATAGTTACAAAAGTATGATCAAGATGCTCACAATAAAAAACCAAAAGTGGGTGCATCATCTTATAAGTACTATGCACTAGCTATATATTCTATACTTGTTCATTGTCCCACATATGTACTCAAAAACCATCATTAAGTAGTGAAGTTATCTGCAAGAAACAAACCAACAACTTGTGTCTGATCAACCCAATTTTTTACAGATGAATGGTTCAAATCACGGAAATGAGTACAAATTGATCTCACAATGCACCAACTTCACTTGTAAAGTTGAGATTTTCTACTTTAGCAAATCCAAACTCCTATTTTTTATATGTTTTTTAGTAAAAAAAAATTCCAAATATATTGATTTTTTTACCTCATACTTTAGTCAAAAAAAAAAAAAAAAGAAAAGAAAAGAAAATGCAAAGGCAAAGGCAAAGGTAAAGGGAAAGAAAATAAAAGATGCTTAAATGTGTATTATCAGCTGAAATACCTCTTCCAAAAGAAGTTCTGCCTCTTCCAAAACCAAATCCCCATGTTCATAACAAACATAAATAAAAGTTCATATAATACAATCATAATTGCATAAAATAAAAAATCATAACAAAATGAAGACAAAAAAAAAAAAAAAAATGCTGAACATGTAAAAAAAAAAAATGGCTTGGCTGGATGTCTGGCAATACATCCCCATGGACGACCAATCACCCAACATCTCCCAGCCAGACTGCTCATCTATTCGTAAAGGCATACAAATCCAAAAGGGACTACAAATCCAAAGTTCCAAAATCAAAACAAATATGAGCTAGATGAACTGTTACTCTAGAAAACAAATGGGTCAAAATATAAAAGGTTTAAAATCTTTCCTGGAAGCCCTAAAACCAACTTCTCACTGATCAATCTCTTTCACATTTTGCACTGGCAACGATGATCAAACCAAAATCTAAAGCTTCTTCGTCGTTTGTTCACACCGATCGGTCTTCTTCAAAGATTTCGTCTCTCTCTCTCTCACAAAATCGATCGAAATCAGAATCGATAGTGAATTAGGAATTTAGGGTACAAAGGTTATTATCGTCTTTTCGTGCTCCAAAACAAGGGTAACATCATTTGTGCCAAAATGACGGAATGAGAGAATCTTGACAATGTCAGGTAAAAACAGGGGAAGTTTGTGTAATTATTTAAACTACAGGGAATGTCTCTATATTTGTCAGAAATCTCAGAAGAGGTGAGTGTAATTTACCCTAGTTTTTTCTTTCTTTCTCACTGATATTGATCATAATTTTGTATGTTCAGTTTTTCGAATTCAAACTCTTGTGAAAGTAGTTCCCAATGGTTTCCAAAGTTGCATGATACTAAAGAATTTACAAGATGTGATGATACCCCTATTTCTTTGTAATGACATGATTTTAGAAGACTGGTGCATACTGTTCAGTATCCTATGAAACAAAACAGATAGTTCAAATTCCATGGGCAATTAGGTTTAGATGTATTATGTATCCCGTGAGACCTTGGATAGGTGTTGTCTAGTTGGGTGATTAAGCTCTTATTGTCAGTTATCAACTGAGGTTATGCACTTGTAATTCTATTTGCTCACCGTCAAAACTGATATAACTGCCACTGTACTTGGTTACCATAAACTATTCTCAAGGGCACTATAGTAGAGTTTAAGGTTGGAATTGGAAGCGGATGTAGTGGTGGAAGCAAGGAGCGAGGGCGCCATAGGAGTTTTCAGCGATGGCTGCTAAGATTTAAACTAGATGAACTAGCCCAAACAAAAATCTTTGAACCTTGTGCACACAACGGTGGAATTATGTGCAATTTTGCTATATATTTGATCTCCCACTTTCTCTTTTATTTCTCCACTTGATTGAGACAAACTTTCTTTGGCACAATAAATGCACTGACTTGAAAGGATTACTTTTGGATTATGTTTTTTCAATTGTTAGTTTCTTAATTTCTCTTTGATTTGATCAAAACAATCTTTTGGTTAGGATTCTCCAAGTAATGGTTGAAGCCTATGAAGCCAGGAATTGGCAATCATCCACAAACAAAGAAAGTTATAAGGCGGAACCATGTTCAAGCTCAAGGAACATTGAGGCTTCAACTTCAAATTCTAGCACAGATCGTGCCTCCCTTTCAATATGCTTGGATTTTCTAAAGTGTATCCAGATTGTAGAAGGGCCATTTTGTGAGAAGGCCTTGAGGATGTTTGAGGATCCTTTGTAGAGGAAAGTATTCATCAACATGGATTGTGAAAAGATGCTTTAGCAGAAAGCCATCAATGAGCGATATCTATTGTTCTATTTGTGTTCGGTTTTCCTGTCACGCTGTTCTGGCGGTGAATCTAGTGGACTTGGTTGATGATGACATGCTTTTGCAGTTTGAATCCTAAATGATGCTTTGTTTCCCATTTTTCTGTTGTTTTACTTGTACGTCAGACACAACTAACGTCTCTTTTTTTTTTTCCTCTTCTTTTTCCTTTAAAAAGGTAAAAATAAAAATGAGGTAGTGTTAGAAAAAAAAATTCTCAATCAACAATCAAACGATTGTAAAGAAAAATAAAAGATAGAAATAGAAAGTATATAGTTGAATTGAAAAGAACAACCACAAAAACATAATCGTAATTCCTTAACGAGTTAAGATGATTACAATTTTGGAAAAGTAAATTATCGTAAAACTACTCAGCTTCTAAAATCAAAGTTGATCTCACAACTACAATTCATAACTATTTGAAAACTACTCCTAAGATAGAAAAGAAAAACAAGAAATTTGATCCAAATGGATCATCTCCACATTCAGCCTATTTATAGGCTTATATTTAGACAGTTTCCATTTCAAGTATTTACTCGAGGTAGTTCTTCAAGTGCGATATTCCTTTGGGAAGTTTACACAGCCACACTTTATGCCCAAGTGACCACTTCTCCTTCCATAATGCCATGACTTGATGCCTATCACACGAGGAATTATTCCCGGTTCCAAGAATTTTAATCAGGTTGTGTGCCCTTCTAATTCTATTGGCTGCTTTATATAATAAATAAGAGAAAAAATAAGTAGTGGGTATATAATCAATAGAATTGTAAGGACATATCACGTGGATATAGGGTGGATCTATATGACAATTTTTCAAATCACATGCACAAAAACGGTAATAATAATAAGTTGTTTAAATATGGCCACAACTAGTTTGTTAAGAAGGTTTTTGTCTAAATTAATAGATTATAATCGATATGTCAGAATCAATAAGACTATATGTGGCTAAAAAAAGTCTTGAAGATGATTCATGACCTAAATCAACAAATTACAACCGATAAAAAATAATTTATGGTGCAAATAGATAGGCACATATGACCCTAGTTTTTTGAATCACAAATGTGCTAAAGTTTAACGGTTGTGTTTTGATAAATATATGCAGGAATTGGAGAAAGGGTCAATTATTATGAGAGACAGTGCTCTTGAGGTTTTTGATTTTATTTATTTATTTATTTGAGAGTGGTTGTGCAATAGTATGAATGTAACACTGGCCAGAGCAATTTTCTCATAAAGCAGCCTTACAAAAATGAATAACAAAGAAAATGATTTTCTATATTGAGTTAAAATGGAGATTAATATAATTATATTAAAAATGTAAAATTTATTATATTTTCTCAAAATGTCAATAGATATTAATGTAATTTATCCAATTTATTTTATATATATATATATATATATAACAAAAATGTCAATTTTGATCGATTATAAATACATACCAATTGAGCTAAAATCATTACTTAATGTTTGAAATTCATAAAAATCTTTCACAATTTTGACTCGCAATAATATAATGTGATAGATGTCAAATTTTAATTTGTTACATATAAAAACCCAACTCTCTTATTACATTATTACAAATAAATTTATGAACCTACAATTATGAATTTCCAACATTACATCAAACTTTTGTTATGTCTAACATCTAAATGATTTTATTAATAATTTGTTAAGAGAGAGAGAGAGCGCGCGCGTGCATGATTGACATCTAATCAATATAATGATTTCAACATTATTATTTTTCCTCCCCTACCACTTTAAGAAATGAAACTTAACCCCTCAAATAAAAATTTAATCATTCCATTAATTATGCTTTGACCCACAAAGGACTAAATTGGCACTCTTTTACAATAATCAGTCCTTGCTAACACTATTCTTATTATTTAATCATTTTACTAATCACTAAAATGAGACAGGTCACAACTCTCCTTCTCTTAAGGCTGTGTTTGGTTCAAGAATTTGTGAAGGGATTTGAAAAGAAAAAGAGAAAGGAGAACAAAAAAAAACGGTGAAAT